ACACATAACATTTCCCAGGGGGAACATGGGAAAGTGTCGCAGAAACCTGAGGCCACACTTCATAGATGCATTCCATGCCTTACTTTCTTGCTTCTGATACCTGACAGAGGGTAGTTTGTAAAACTAAAACATATTTTCAGAACTCTCTTAAGCCTTCAAAAAGAGGACCTCCATGCTCTCTTGATACCTATAAAACCACAGATTGCACCATCAGGGGCTTTTCAGCTTCTTCTTCTTCCTTTTTTAAAATCAAACCTCATTCTTCGATTGCAGAGCCAAATGTTCCCAGTGGAGACAACATTTCTGGTTTTGTTTTGTATTAAAAAATCTTTTACATTCTATGAGGCTGGAGTGATAGCACAGCGGATAGGGCATTTGCCTGGCACGCGGCCGACCCAGGTTTGATTCCCAGCATCCCATATGCTCCCCCTGAGCATCGCCAGGAGTGAATCCTGAATGCATCGTCAGGAGTAACCCCTGTGCATCATCAGGTGTGACCCAAAAAGCAAAAAAAAAAAAAAATCTTTTACATTCTTGAGCTAGAAAGATAGCACAGCTAGTAGGGCACTTGCCTTGTATGTGGCTGGCCTGGGTTAAATCCCTGGCCCCATGTATAGTCCCCTGAGCACTGCCAGGAGAAATCCCTGAGCATCACTGGTTGTGGCCCACAAACAAAACAAAAAAGAAAAAATTTCCCTTCCCAAGTGCACATGGGATATATCCTATACACATCATTTACTTCTCTCTCTCTCTCTCTCTCTCTCTCCTCCCCTTCTTTTTTTAGGTGCAACCACCTCAATTATTTTTTTCAAAAGATTTTATGTGCATCCTTGGCCAGACACTCTCCTTTAACCATCAATGGAGACTCCACAGAGGAGCACACCTCCTTGCTCACTGAGAGAGGCCTCTGCTGCGACTGACCTGTCTGGGCCTGGAAGAGGAGTGAGAGGGATGCAGGCCCTGCCTTGCACTCAGCAATACCAGCAGTTCTACACACAGATAAAAACCTAATCCTTTTTCTAGTGCCCTTGACGAAAGAGCGCCAAACAGAATCACACTGCTGCCACCGCTGGGGACTTGGCACCGGCCTGGAGGTGGAGAGAGCGTCCTCACTGGCCAGTCCACCCACCGCCCATGAGCCGGAGAGTGCCTATTCTGTGCCGGGCACTGCACTCATGATGTTCACTTTCATCACTGAATCCTCCTGGCAAGCAGCCAGGTGGGGACCCTTTTCTGTAGTTCGCACATTAGAAACTGAGGTTCAAGGAAGACAATATATTTGCCCAGAGTTACCGAGGTAAGAAGCCAAGGTAAAACAAAGCTGGCATATTAGTCAGGTCTATTTACATGGGACTCTCCTGCTCGTCCAAAAGAACACCTGATGCCTTGATTTCATTCTCACTCTCCGTGACACATACTTTAACCATCTGCTCGGCTCCTGCATGCAGGGCCTCAGGATACCAATGCAACTGCTCAGAAACACAATATTCTTTGTGTAACTGGGTCATGTGCACAGAGTGAACCAAAGACAGGTTCTGCCTAGTAAGTAATGATTTTTCAATGTAATGAGTTCCATTCTCAAATATAGACACCAGTAGTCTGCAGAGAGACTTCTGGAGTGGGGTGAACAGCATTTAGTGCTTGATATCTCAGTAGTTTCTCAATGAGAAAAATGAAGATTAGAGAATATTTCATATGTAAATACTGCAGTCAAATTAAAGAGATAAAAAAGGTAGGCTGGAGCAATACTATAGTATAGTATTAGTATATAGTATATAGTATAGTATATATAGTATATATATTATATAGTATAGTATATAGTATAGTATATATAGTATACTAATAGTCACGATCATGATCACCATCATCCTGTTGTTCGTTGATTTCCTCGAGCAGGCACCAGTAACATCTCCTTCTTCCTAGCCCTGAGATTTTAAAAGAGCCATTTCAATGCTCTTTCAGGATTAGGAGAATGAGACCCATCATTGTTACTAGTATTTGGCATACTGAGTACGACACAGAAAGTTTGCCAGACTCTGCCATGCGGGCAGGATACTTTTGGTAGCCTGCCAGGTTCTCCAAAGGAAAAATAAGATAATAAGATGCCGCAGCCGCGTGCTTCCAGGAGCTGGGTTTTATAGTCTCTGCGTCTTAGCCGTTGATGGAACCAACCTGGCGCTGGTGGTAGCTGGTGGGTGTGACGCCTACCTACTGGAAGATGGGGGGGTCTCGTTGAAGAAGACCCAGTCCCAATCCGAGTAGGCTTGGAGACCTCAGCCCCGGGATCCGCATGCCTGTGTTCCTCTGCCAGTTCTTTCATGCATGAGGCCCATCCGGACGTGTGGAGAGTGGTCCCAGCATGGCCATGGCTGGCTCCGGAGGTCCTCAGCTGCTGGGGCTCTGCTCAGGGCGGGGGCTGGGGGAGAGAAACTCAACCCTCCCCCCCTCCAAGGGGCCCCGGTGAGGATAGCCAGGCACGGGGGCAGGAGACTCATAGTATTGTATAGTATAGTATAGTATAGTATAGTATAGTATAGTATAGTATAGAAGAGTATAGTATAGTATAGTGGCACTGAAGAGTTTCGGTGAAATGGCATTAAGAAGATTATGCGACGACTGGAATGGGAAGGAATGGGAGTGAAGATAGAAGGTCAGCAACTACACCATCTCCGCTTTGCTGCTGACATTGTTTTAACAACACCAAATATTAGCCAAGCGGCACAAATGCTGGCCGACTTCGACCGTGAGTGTGGAAAGGTCGGTCCACAGCTGAATCTTATGAAGACAATGTTTATGAGAAACAGCCTCGTTCCTGATGCCCCATTTGCTCTCAATGGAATGACCATCTCCGAATGCAACAGCTATGTGTACCTAGGTCGAGAAGTCAACATGACAAATGACCTGGCACCCGAGCTGCGCAGGAGGAAGAGAGCAGCTTGGAACGCCTTCAAGAGTGTCAAAGAAATAGCTAAGAGGATGAAGAACCTCCGGCTCCGGGCACATCTCTTTGATTCCACTGTTCTTCCTGCATTAACATACGCCTCAGAGACCTGGGCCCTAGCAAACAGGATGAGAATGCTATTCGGGTCTCCCAAAGAGGAACTGAAAGAGCTATGCTTGGAATATCACGTTTCACTCAAATGAGAGAATGAATCCGGAGTTCTGACATCCGTCGACGATCAAGAATCAGGGACGCTGTCTTGTTTGCCAAGGTGTCAAAAATCAGATGGGCTGGTCACGTAATGAGATTTAGAGACGATCGCTGGACTAGAGCTGTTACTGACTGGATTCCACAGGATGTCAAAAGACCGCGTGGCCGCCCACCTACCAGATGGTCAGATTTCTTCATCAAGATCATGAACAACTGGTTTGAGGCTCTTCGTGTTCCTAGAACGAACAGATGCCTTTGGGCTACACTAGAACGATGTGACAGGGACAAACGAAGATATTACTGGCGCCCACTCGAGCAAATCGACGATTAACGGGAAGTCAAGTGATCAAGTGATCAAGTATAGTATAGTATAGTATAGTAATAGTATAGTATAGTAGTAAAAGTATACTATATAGTATACTAATACTATATGTGTAAACTCAAAAAGACAGTAGTGACTCTATCTCTCCTGCCGCCCGCGTTCCGTAGTCTCACGCCGGTTCCCCCACCCCGGGGAGGTCAATGGTGATTGGTAGGCAAAGGAAGGAACGAGGGCCAGGCTGGTTGGTCTTAGTTGCGGTTTATTCCATTCACATCTCCATTCTCCTCTGACTCTCCTCCTGCTTCTTCCTCCCCCATGCAACTTCATTCTCCTCCTCAATCCCCCTTCATTCTCCTTTTGGCTCTGGAATCTGGATCTGGATCCCCCTTTCTCCTTCTCCTTCTGAAGTCTGGATCCTGATCCCCCAGCCCACTCTTACAGTCTAGTTATATCCCAATGAATGAGGGGTTGGGGCTTACACATAGGTGTGGTCACAATCAATAGGGATAAAGTTCTTTCCCTCAGGGGGTACTTCTTCTAGAACAGATACCCTCCAGTAGGACGACCCACCCAAGAGTGGAATCCCATGGGTGTGTTTCTCCTCTCCTTGTCTAACAAACATATAAGCATTCATAATATAAATCATTTTGTAAGGATACAGTAAGAAATACCTTAAGCTTATAGAATTGCTCTCCTAGGGCCATCTCGATCTCAGATTACAGTGCTCAGGCCAGATAGTCTTTCCTATCCCTAGTAGGGTCCTAGTCTTGTCGTTATTTTTGGATCATGACAACATTTGTCTATGATCAAGCTCTTAACTTATAGTTAAGAATCGTGGCACTTTGGCCTGGCCCATTTTGATGCCAGAGTAGCTCACTGCTTGCCCTGGGTCTATTCAGTCCCTCATCGGGACCCTGCTTTTGGTGGGCTAGGAACCAAGGGCAACTGAGGCTTAAGTCGAGAAAGCAGATGCCTGGAAGTGAATAATTTTCAAAGCCAATTAAATCCTAAGTTACAAAGCATAATATTAACTGTCTTCCTGTATCTATACAAAAAGGACATTGCATTAAAGTAAACTATTCAAAAGATATAAGAAGAGGAGAAAGGCAATATTAACTTACAATACAATTTCAGTGTCCTAGAAGGATCTGACCTTACTAATTAACAGATACTGATTAGGGGAAAAGCTGATTAACTGGTTGGGGAGGAGAGCATAGGGAAGAGTTTACAGCTAAACACAATGGAATGGAAGTGCCTCAGGAGCACTGTAATAAACCTGAGTTCCTTATGGCAAGGGAGGAAGGACAAACCAATGTCATCCTACACTATACAGTACACTACATAATATAGTAGCATACTATATAGTATACTAATACTATAGCATACTAATAGTATAGTATAGTATAGTATAGTATAGTGAGTAGGGTACTTGCCTTGCATATGGTCCCCAAGCCACACCTGTAGTGATCCTTGGGCACAGAGCCAAAAATAAGCCCTCCCACAAAAAAAGTAAAAAACACAACTTACCATAGCAAGAAAAAAGTACACAATAAAGAAGTTGATAATGTCCACCGAGAAAGTAGTTAATACACCAAACAGAATCATGGCTATGCTTGTAGGCCACATAATAAGTCGTCTCCCCAACCTGAAACATAAGAAACACATGAGGAGGTGGAATGATAGTACTCTGGGGAGGGCATTTGACTTGCACAAGGCCAACTGGGTTGCACAAAACCATCCCATATATATAGTCTCCTGAGCACTGTCAGGAGTAATTCCTGAGTGTAGAGCCAGAAGTAGGCTCTGAGCATTGTTGGGTGTGAAAATTGCCTTGCATGTGACTAGGAAGTTGACATTGATTCCATCACCAACACTACATATGATCAGAGCACTGTCAGGAGTGACGCCTGAGCACACAGCCATGGACCCTAAGTACTTTTTGATATCTCTTCAATCCTCTTCCCCCAAAATAACTCACACAGCATTAAGAAGGCAAACTATCTTCAGGACCCATTTTCTTACCCCTGGGTTATTTTGTGTCCCTATATAACAGATCTTCAAAGAGGCATTTATCTCAATAATAGGTGTGAAATGACTAAGGTTTTGAACACAACTCCATGTCCTCTAAGTAAAAGAACACTATCAGAGGGGATAGGGCGATAGTATAGCAGGTAAGGCACTTGCCTTGCACACGACCGACCTGGATTTGATCCTTGGCACCTGATATAGTCCCCTGAGCACTTCCAGGAGTGATCTCTGAGTGCAGAACCAGGAGTAAGTCCTGAACACTACTGGGCGTGGCCCAACCCTCACCCCCAAACCCCCATAGAAAAGAAAGAAAATATCAGAGAGGAAAAAGAACCTCCACACAAATGTAACAGTCATAAATATTTCATCTCACCTGTCAGCAAGGTAGCCAGATATCATTGATCCTACCATGACTCCAAATACAAATACAGGCTGAATCATTTGCGCTAAATGTTTTCGATCACACACCAGGTTCCACTCAGTCACTACAGAGAATTTCTCATTGGACTGGTTGTAGAAAAAACCATTCGGGCAAGCTGAACTAATCTTAGAGTCTCTATGAAAAAACTTCATACCCAACTCCAAGTCAGTCCTATGAACTCTCCCACAATTGGAGAGCTCCCAGATTTCACCATTCTCTAGTTGCACTATTATGAAGTCATCTGTGTTTTGTGAGAATATGTTCTTCAACATGTCACCAGAAGTATTTTGGTAAAGAATCCGAGACACGTTTCCTGGAGGTTTGCAGGTAAATGAAGGGGTTGATATGATGAACACAGAAGCCAACAAATGGATACCACAAGAGGTGTTCTGGAAGGCACAAATGAAATAGAGGACTTTCTGGAATCTGCAAAAGGAAGAAAAGTTAGTTAATACATGGGGTTCTATAAACTGGAAACAAGCAAACATGCTGGATCTCTATCATTAAGTTTATTATTTAGTTTTGGGTTTCGGACCATACCCAGCAGTGCTCAGGGCTTACTCCAGACTCTGCACTCAGGAATTACTCCTTCGCAGTACTTGGGGATATGGAGCCACATGCAAGGAAAGTGCCCTACCGCCATGCTATGGCTCCAGCTACTATCATGTTTAGGTTAATAGAGAATGAAATGAGTACATGTAGGTTAGTGTGTTTATGTGTGCATGTGTATATTATATATCTCTGTATGTGGAAAAGGCTTAAAAGTTACGGCTTCCTATTTATCAACAGGCATGTGCAGATGTTGTATTTTTGCCTTCTAAATATTCTTCAGTATAAGGAAGCAAGGAACAATGGCTGATCTAAGACCAAGACAAGAACACAAAACCTGTCTGAAGCATCTTGGAGCATGGCAAAGCCAGGATTATTTAAAATGCCAAAAGATGAGGGCATACCAAAGGGACACAGGACTCAATAAGAAAGAGCCCCCAAAGTTCAAAGTTGTGACAATTTGAAGAAAATGAACAGTACTGTATTTTCCAATGTATAAAATAAAGATATGGGTTTATTCTGTGATGGTCCATTTTATGTGCCAGCTATTCTGGGTTAAAAAAGGCCCATCTAGCTGGTAAAACATGATCTGTGTGGGTACAGGTGATTGTATCCCTCTAGTAGGGGTGTACAGCATCCACCCTATTGAGGGCTAGAGTAGGATAAGGGAAGGCAAAGGCAAATTGGAGCTCCCTGCCTTGGCAGAATCACCCATCTGACCCCGCCTTTGAGCCTGGGCACTCCTAGCTTCTGGGCTTTTGGACTTAGAGCACTATCAGTGCCCCGATTCTCCTTCAGATATGGACCTCCCATGTCTACCATCAGCTTTCCTGTGTCTCCAGCTCCTCAATGTCTCTGTGTGGCTCTTCTCAGATTCCACAGCCATGTGTACTAATTTCTAGCACTACTATAAACATTCACTATATATACATATAATAAATGTCTATATGATATATACACGTGTGTATACATACAGGCTGGAGCGATAGCACAGTGGGTAGGGTGTTTGCCTTGCACAAGGCTGACCTGGGTTCGATTCCCCTGTCCCTCTTGGAAAGCCCCGCAACCAACCGAGAGCATCCCACCCACACGGCAGAGCCTGGCAAGCTCCCCGTGGCATATTCGATATGCCAAAAACAGTCACGAGTCTCACAATGGAGACGTTACTGATGCCTGCTAGAGCAAATGGATGAACAATGGGAGTACTATAGTGTAGTACTATAGTGTAGTACTATAGTGCTACAGTGTATACATACACTATTTCAAAAGGTTCACTCTAGAGACCCTGATGAATACAGATTTTTTTTCTGAATCAAGAAAGATTCTCAAGGAACAGAATTTTGTGGTGGGTACACCAGGCAGAGTGCCACACCTGGTGGGGTGGGGGTGCAGCATGCAGCATCAAACCCAGGGCCTCAGGTATACAGGTCATGTGCTTGACCTCTTGTATCATATTCTGGGCCCCACCCTGACAGAAATTAAGTGTCCCAATTTCTCTGCTTTCTCACAAATACATTGTCATTTGTGTTTTGGGCAGCAACCGCCCTGTCAGGTAGAAGGCGCTACCTTATTGTGGTTTTGACTTGCATTTTCCTGACAATGAGTGATGAAGAATATTTTTCACACATCCAAGGACCATTTGTATATTTTCTTTGTAGAAATGCCCATTTAACCGTCAACTCATAGGCTGGAGTGATGATGCAGAGGGTAGGGCATTTGCTTTGCATGTGGCCCACCAGGGTTTGGTCCCTGGCACCCTATATGGTCCCCCAAACCCCTCCTGTAGTAATTCCTGAGTGTAGAGCCAGGAGTAACTTCTGACCATTGCTGAGTGTGCCCCCCAAACAAAACAAAACAAAACATCAACTCATTTTTTTTTTTTTTTGCTTTTTGGGTCACACCCGGCAATGCACAGGGGTTACTCCTGACTCTGCGTTCAGGAATTACCCCTGGTGGTGCTCAGGGGACCATATGGGATGCTGGGAACCGAACCCGGGTTGGCCGCATGCAAGGCAAACACCCTACCCGCTGTGCTATTGCTCCAGCCCCAACATCAACTCATTTTTAATCTGGTTATTAGATTGCTGTTGACTTACATGCTTCCCTTCAATTATGAATGGCCCCTTTTAGATATACATGTTCCCAAATATTTTCTCCTCTCCCATAGGTTATCTTTCCACTCTGTTGATTCCTTGCTATGGAAATGCTTTTTAGTTTGGACTATGCAGTTCTACTTGTTTACTTTGGAGCACGTTGCTTACACTTTTGGTGTCCTATTATTCATGAGCTCATTTCTAAGATCAGCGTCATGAAGCTTTCCTCTCTTTTGATATTTAGAGTTTTATAGTTTCAGGGCTCACATTTAAGTCTTCTCCACTGCATTCTTTTATTCGTTTGCATTTTGCATTTTTATTTTATTTTTATAAGGTTGTTTGCAATAATTCAATATTCAAACACTCAATTTTCCAACACCAGTCCCACCACCATTACACCTTATCCACTAGCATTATTTTGAATTTTCTCAACCACCACCCAAGCCGGGCCCAATAGCAGGCCCTAAATAATTTATTTTGTATAGCTTGTTATGAATAAATCTCTAAAAATGATTTAAAAAATCCTTAGAACAAAGTGTGTGAAGGTTGTTGTATCTCACCCTGGAGCCCTTGTGTAAGAGACTGTTAACATACTGTCACAGGCTGAGCCTTGTGTTCTAATATTTTTCTAATTCGTTGACTTCTACCTTGAATCCTATTCAATGTGTGCTACTCCTGGTACCTCAATGATATAGAGTATGAAATGTTGCTCCAAGAATTCTAAAATTTTAGATAAGAAGATACAGCTAGAGTTAAACTTTTAACTCGGTGGTGACTTTGGGGTCTGAGGCGTCTCTGCAGTTTGCTGATTCTCCCGAGATTTATTTATAAGCCTCTGGATCATGGGCAGTTATGGAGCTTATATGGAACCAAAAGTAGTTCTTGGGCATGATGCCAGGTTCCTGAAGAACAGGGTGATGGTGGGGAAGGTCGCTCATCCCCAATTCCATAAGAACCCGGAGATTTCATTCACAAAACCCACATACCTGAGGTTTTCAACAAATTCATTCATAGATGAGGCTAATCTGAGCCTGTGGATGTTGGCTATGAGAATGGCAGTGATTGGGTTCTGGAGGTTTTTGGCTGCTGGGACTCTGTTAGGGCAGGTGGGGAAACTCTCTCCCTCCCTGGGGTTCCCTGGATATGAAGTTCAGCCTGGCGTGGGGTCTGAAGCATCTCTGCAGCTTGCTGATCTCTCTCGAGATTTGTGAGTATCTTCTACTGCACTCTTATCATCTACTTCAATCTGACCAATAGCCCCCCTGGGAGTTCCCTATAATCAGTGGACAGAGGGAAAACTCCAGCCATGTCCTGTATGATATGCAAAAGCAGATCCCTGCAACCCTTCAGTCTCCTTCTGGGATACTCTGAGAGATAATGGTAGATGCCCTCCCAGTGAGCTGAACCTTGTGCAGGGTACCTGGTTGTGCCCCTTGATTGGCAGGAGAAATAATGAGACATGTGATTATATATGCCTATTCATGAGTGGCAGCCATTGATCTGTCTGCTCAGCAATTTGAAAGCAACTTCATTGACAAAGAAATGTGGGGAATGGACTATGAATAAACTTGAGTATGTTTTTTTTAAAAAAAAAAAAAGAGGAAGGGACAGAAAGGGGACTCTGAGCAATAGCACAGAAGGTAGGGCATTTTACCCACATATAGCTAACCCAAGTTCAATCCCCAGTACCCTATATTGTCCTCTGAACCCAGCTAGGAGTGATTCCTGAATGCAGAACCAGGAGTGAGCCCTGAGCACTGCTGGGGTTTGGCCCTCAACAAAAAGAGGAAAGGATATTTGTATCCCATGCTAACTGTGTCCCAAAAGGGGGCAAAGATTTTATAATAAAATGAAGAAGATGGCTTCAGGGGTAGACCTTGGGAAAGAAGGCATCTTTCTTGCGTCAGCCCTAGTATGTCTATGGGGCTTGTGAGCAGTCACGGGATTAAATCCTTGACATTGCTCTGTTTTCCTCGCTTAAAGATTAGGATAGTGTTTCCTTGCCCAGAATGACTATTGGGAAGTGAGAAATAATAATTAGGGCTCTCTTTAATATTTTCATGAGATTTTATTAAAACTAAATAATACTTCATACTCCTATTTATGAACACAGAGAAGAGACCAAGCAAATACCAGTGAAACGCCAGAGTATTTTGCTAGGATCACACCATTTCCACCTATAAGCACTGGCTCATTACCCATGGCTTTCCTCCAAGCTGCTCTCACATGAAGCACATCTAGCTGAGGTGGGAATCCACTAGAGCAGCCATGCTTTACTGAAAATTTACTGAATAATAAGACTTTGGAGGTCAGAGGAATAGTATGAGGGTAGGGTGTTTGCCTTGCATGCAGATGACCCTGGCATCCCGCGAGCACTACCAGGAGTAATTCTTGGATACAGAGCCAGGAGTAACCCCTAAGTCTCACCAGGTGTTGCCCAAAAACCAAAACCAAAAGAGAGACAAAGAGAGACAGAGAAGAAAAAGACTTTTGCAGATACTATGTCTAAATGAGCTGTCTCCCCAATTCTATCCTCCCTATCATCCACCAAAGTAGGCTATGGTTGGCTACATGCAGCCATGTGGGCAAGGAAAAGGAAGCAAATGTTCCAAGCACAGGAAGAAAGTCCCAAGATGGTAAGGTTGCCTCACCCCCTGGTTCGTGGTTACTCCCACCATTAAACAGAGCTGACCGTGAATTGTTATTGGAGACAAACAAACTTCTAGTAAAGGAACAACAGGTGTATAGCTAACAACCCTATTCAGAGGTATCTAGTCTAGGCCAACCGACCACCTTCTGTCAATCTCAGTCAATCATGGAAACCCATATTGGAGAAGGAATGTTATTATTGCCTCCTACCTCACAGGGTTAATGTGAAGATGAGAGGCTTCATGTGGAGTCTTTAATCTTACCATTATCCCCTGTTTTACAGACAAGAAAGTGGGGGTAAAACAAATACTGTGAGACTTTAAGAGCCATGACTAAAACTGCAGCATCCAAGCCCAGCTGTCCTCCATGCTATTCTGCCAGCAGACACAGGTTATCAGTGATTCAGCTGAGTCCCAGCGTTGTTCTCTAATTGTGCTCTCCTGAGAGAATACAGCACTTGTACCCACATGACAAAGGATGTCAAGTCAGGGCAGGAATGGCATCGCTGGGTACCCAGCAACCTATGCAGTCTACAGGCTAGAACTCTGTGAAATGAGTGGCACCACTGTAGTGTCAGAGCTGCAGTGAATATCAACAGAGATAACACCCAAATCTCTTATGACAGAGCCCATCACAACAACACAGTGTGTCTGAGAGAGAGAAAGAAAGAGAGAGGAGAAGTGTCTGTCATTGAGGCAGGCAGGGCGGGGAGGGTTGGGACAGAGGGGTGATGGGAGGAAAACTGGGGACATTAGTGGTTAGAAATGTACACTGATGAATCTACTAGTGATGGGACATTGTATGACCGAAACCCAATCATAAACAGCTTTGCAACTGTGTATCTCACAGTGATTCAATTTATAAAAGAAAAACAAATGAAGGTGTCCAGACCTGGCAGGGGGAGGAGGGAGGCCCCCCCCATTCCCTCTCCTTACAGGTCCAATTGGACTTCAGACTAAGCTTAAAATCTCAGTAAGATATAAGGCACCCTCTGCTGGGAAAACTGGACAGCAACATGGAAAAAAAAAGTGAATTCAGACCTCTGTCTAATGTCAAGCACGAAAGTCAATAAAAATGGATTAAAGACCTCAATATCAGTCCTGAATCTATGAGGCACAGGGAGGAAAATGTAGGCAGAACCTTCCATGATATTGAAGCTAAAGGTGCCCTTAAGGATGAAACACCACTGACCAAACAAGTGGAAACAAAGATAAATGAGGCTACATTAAACTAAGAAGCTTCTGCACCTCAAAAGAAATAGTAACCCAAATACAGAGAGAGCCCACTGAATTGGAAGAATTATTTACCTAATACCCATCTGATAAAGGGTTAATATCCAGGATATATAAGACAATGTTAGAACTTTACAAGAAAAACTCCTCCAACCCCATCAGAAAATGGGGAGAAGAAATGAACAGAAACTTCCTCAAAAAAGAAATGCAAATGGCCAAAAGGCATGTGAAAAAATGCTCTACATCACTAATCATCAGGGAGATTAAAATTAAAACAACAATAAGATATCATCTTACACCACAGAAACTGGCACACATCAAAAAGAACAAGAACAATCAATAGCAGTACTCCTACACTTTAAAAAAAAAGGAATAAGAACAACCAGTGCTAGTGCGGATGTGCGGAGGGGGGCGTGAAAGGGATTCTCATTCATTGTTGGTGGGGATGCTGAATGGTCCAGCCCTTTTGGTAAATAATCTGGACATTACTCAGAAAACTACAAATTGAGCTTCCATATGACCCCGCAATAGCACTTCTGGGGATATATGCCAGAGATGCAATAAAGCACAGTGGAAATGACACCTGCACTTGTATGTTTATTGCAGCACTGTTCACAATAGCCAGAATCTGGAAACAACCCGAGTGCCCAAGAACAGACAACTGGTTAAAGAAACTTTGGTTCATCTACACAATGGAGTACTACGCAGCTATTAGAAAATATGATGCCACGAAATTTGCTTATAAGTGTCCCTCTATTAAGCATGATACTCTCCATGTCCAGACATAGAATGACTGTACTCATTTGTGGAATAAAATAACATAATAAGATACTAACACCCAAGGAGAATAGAGACAAGGGCCAGGAGGATTGTTCCATGGTTGGAAACCTGCCTCATGAGCTGGGGGAGAAGGCAGTTGGGATGGAGAAGGGACCACTAAGTCAATGACAGTTGATGGAATCACTCTGGATGGGAGATATGTGCAGAAAGTAGATAAAGAACAAAACATGATGGCTTCTCAGTATCTGTATTGCAAACTATGATGCCCAAAGTAGAGAAAGAATAAAAATAAAGGTGCCTGCCACAGAGGCAGGGGGTGGCATGGGGTAGGGGTGGCAGGAGGGATACTGAGGACATTGATAGTGGAAAATGTGCACTGGTGGAGGAATGGGTGCTCGATCATTGTATGACTGATACTCAATCATGAAAGTTTTATAACTGTATCTACAGCAATTCAATAAAAAAAAATAAAGAAAGATATGAGACACCCTCACCCAGCCAACTCTGCCCCAAACACTCTGGGCCAGAGAGACCTTTCTCCATATGTGAACGCCTACATGCAAGAATTCAACATTTTAAAATTTAATAAAGCAAAGGAGGGTGCAGGTGCACCACGATTCTACAGCGATTCTGTGGTCCCACCCAGTTTGTAGCTGTGTATCCTTGGTTGGGAGGGTGGGGTGGGGGGGGGGGGAGAGGAACGGGCAATCTGTTTCCTTCCCCAGTCATTAAGTCTGTTAAAGAGTCCAGCGTCTTTGCAATATTATTGGGGGCGTCGAATAAAGTACGATGCCTCAACACTAGCTCTGCATGTCCCCTTCCACAAATGACATCAATCTAACGGTTACTCCTGGGGCCATATCAACCCGGGGCACTCTGCAGCTTAGAGGGGTGGGACGTGGCAGCTGCCCTGGTTGGGGAGGGGATAGGTTCTTCCCCCTTACACTTTATTTAAACACTGTAGTTTACAAAGTGGGTCATGATAATTTGTTATAAGCCATTCACTATTCCAACACCAGAGAGGTTTTTGTTAGTTTGCTTGTTTGTTTGTTTGTTTGTTTGTTTTTTAAGGAGCCAGTGGGCAGGAATAGAGAACCATGCAGCCCAGGGACAGACACTCCTCTCCTGGACCGTGCCTGTCCAAAAGTGGATCCTGAGGATGCCCTGGGTGAGCAAGAGGCGGCCCGGAACGCGCTCTGCCCGCGGGAGGGAGGTCCACGTCGCTGGTGGCTGGTGTCCGTTGTCTGAGGGCACCACCCCGGCACTGGGCTGGTGCGGGACTCCCCGCACCCCCTCACCCAGAGGCCGGGCGCGAGGAGAGGCGGCCAGCAACGGGCACCGGTGCGCGCGACCACCAGCGTCCCAACTAACTCCCTTACCTCCCGAAGTGGCCCACGTGGTCAAAGATCAGCTCCACGTTTGGAGTGCGAGGGTGGTCCTTGGCGCCGTCGGGGGTCGGAGTGTCCCAAACTCCGGGGCCGGGGCCGGCGCCAGTTGCGGCCTGCTCGGCGCCTGCTTGCCGCCGGCCGCTGGGGTCCCAGCTCGGGAACTTCCCGTACTGCGACACCCAGGAACCAAACCTGATCTTGGACGACTGCTGCCCGCTCAGGTGGCTCCGGCCCTCGGAAATCGCGAAGGGAGAGGAGCTGTGCGGGGACCCCGGTGCGCCTTCGAGCTTGCTTTGGGCGCGCTCCCGGCCCCAGCGCTCGGCCACCTCGATAACCTCGGCCATGGCCCCGCGGCGCCCCGCCACGTCTAGCCGCCGCCGTCTCTCGGGATGCGACCCCTCGCCCCCTCGCCCCCGCGCGCACGCGCCCACCGGCAGAACTGCCCAGTGGCTTCTCCGGGTGGGGGAGGGGCGGGGGCGAGAATGTGGGGTCACAACGCCCTCGCGGCCACCTACCTGCCCTTTGGCTACCCAGGTGTCTAGGCCAGGGCCTGATTTGTACTTGGGAGCGCGTTGAGTTGAGTTTGGGGGGCTCCTGGCTCCGTAGCTGCTGGCTAGGGGTCGTGGAACAGGGTCCGCTGCGTGCAAAGCAGCACCCTCTTGCCTTTTTTCTTCCACCCAGGGGGAGGAGCGAGGGGTGCAGGGCCACGTGTGGGTCTTGAGGAACACGGGGATGGCTTTCTCGACAGCAGTCCGGCAGGTTTAAAGTCAGGCTCGGGGTGGGGAGGGGGGGCATCCACAAGAGCAGAGCGGAGTGAGTGAATTCTCGGAGCCCAGAGATAGTTCAAAGGGATGAGCGTGGGATTCTCTGCAGGCAGACGGGTGGGGCCCGTGTTTGTGTTTGTATTGTAGCCCTGCACCATTTGCTTCCCTTCAGGCACCCCAGGAAGGGAACCTCCCCACCCCAGCATTGCCAGGTGTGTATGTGGTGGGGGGAGGGGAGTGGAGGAAGAAGAGGAGGAAAGAGAAGAAAGGGGAGAGGAGAGAGGAAAGGAGAATTTTGATGACCTTGAGACCTGTCCGGATCAGCCTCCTGGACAAGATTTCATATTTACCAAGAGCAAAGGAAATTCCAGGGACAGAGACATTCTTCAGCACAGTGTGACAAGAGTGTCCGCCAATAGAATTTGGAAGAGGGAAGCAAGTTCTCCGCCCAGACTCCTTCCCTCACAGCTTCTCACACATCCTAAAATAACACCATTGAAAATGGATTTAAGTTTCATAGGCATGATTTTCCTTTTTCTTTTGAAAGGCAGATACTCCGGAATGATTCATCTATTCAGTGATAAACTAGTTGGAATGTCTGTTTTTTAAAAAGGAAAGAAAAGAAAAAATTAGGGCAGGAGTGGTTAGAGGACCCAGAAGTAACGTTGGCCTAGTTTTAAGCTTAGGAGGACAGGTGGCAGCCACAGGGAGGAAACTGGCCAGATGCAACGTTCCTGAAGGGAGAATTCTCCAAAGGGAGAGTTGCCTGGAAAAGAAATGGAGAATTTTGGAACTTTCATCTATTGTTCAAGTTATATCTATCAGTAATGCCACAACGGAGGCCAAATAAATTCCTTGAAAGATGCAAATTACCAATACCTACTCAAGAGAAAGAAAAAAGAAAACCAGAAATAGGATATGTAATGGGCTGTATAGTTTGAAAAGCCAGGGCCCAAACGTTTAAGGAAGGAAAGAATACTAATCCTGCTCAAACACCATCAAAAGAAAAAAAATAAAAGAGCAGTGAGAATTCCTTTCAATTTGTGTTATAGGTCTAACACACCAGGCAAATCAGAGGGTAATGACATAAAATACTTCATGACCATAGTCACAAGAACAGTTTATTGTTAATGCTTTTGTTTTCTATGAATAGAAATCCAAAAGTGTAACTGCTGGATTATATGGCAACTTTATCTTGAACTTTTCAACTTTTTATTTAGACACAGTGATTTACAATACTGCTGATAGAAATGCTTCGGGCATGCAATGTTACTACACCACAACCACCACCAGAGTGTCAGGACCCCTCTACCCCTTTCTCTAGTTTTCCTCTCCCCTAACCACCCTCCCACTCTCTCAGCAAACTCTGCTCTCTAGGCAGACACTCAGGGCCTGCTGCCATTAACCACTATTTGCTCCACATCTAAGAGAACTCATCTAGTATTTGTCCCTCTCCTTTTTACTCATTTTGCTCAATATAATACCCTCTAGTTCCATCCACATCAGTGAATTGCAGGATTTCATCTTTTTTTTCTCATAACTTTCTTCTAGTTGGAGTAGTATTCCATTGTGAATAACACCATAACTATAGCACTCCATAGTTTTCTTATAGCTGAGTAGGATTCCATCGTGGATAATTCCTCTGTTATTGGGCTTGGGGTTACTTTCTGATCTGGACTATTGTGAATAGTGTTGCATAGGAGTGCAAATATCTTCTTGAATTAATGTGTTGGGGCTCTATTTTGGATGCCAAGGAGTAGAATAAGGGCTGGATTACAGAGGGTAGGGTGCTTAACAACTAATGCAGCCGGCCTAGGTTCCATCCCTGGCCCCTTGTGTGTCCCCCAGTCCTGCCAGAAGTGATCCCTGAGCACAGATCCCTGGTGACAATAACAACAAAAGTAAAAGCCTAAACTCAATGATGAGTCACCCTGAAATTCAGGGGACACTATATGGAGATCAAACTGAGCTGGTCCCCATTCTCAGTCATTGAAGAAAACAATACTTTTCTTGTTCCCAAAAAATTTTGAGACATGTTTAAAGTCGGTATCTTCACAATAAGTTGGGAAAGATTCCTGAATGTAAGAGAACTATTTCCCATGTTAACTATGCCTTTAAATATTTTTATGAGCATATGTGCAGCAGAATCCTAAAATAACAATGGAATAAGTACTTAGACCTTCGAGATCATTATGGAACCCCCTTCAGGTTTTATAAAACCGATGTATTCTTTTTTGTCTTTTGTGGTCACACCGGTGATGCACAGGGGTTACTCCTGGCTCTGCACTCAGGAATTATTCCTGGCAGTGCTTGGGGGACCATATGGGGTGCCGGGAATTGAATTCAAGTCAGCTGTGTGCAATGCAAATGCCCTACCTCCTGTACTATCATTCTGGCCCAAAACCGATATATTCTTAACAGAGTTGGCTTGGCAAAGCACACTCAAGGTGGATGCTAATTTTTATATATTTGTTGCCAAGAGGCCCTAAACTATAATTACTAAGAATCACCGTAAGACAAAATAAAGAGGACCACAGACACAGTACAGTGGGTAGGGAACTTGTCTTGCTTGCAGCCAACTGGGTTCAATCCCTGGCATCCCATATGGTCCCCTTAGAACCAACGGAAGTGTATCCTAAATGCAGAGCCAAGAGTTATCCCTGAACATCACTAGTTTGCCCCAAAAGCTAAATAAATAATTTTTAAAGTACAAAATGAAAATGATCTAAAAGAAGTCAAAGGTTCTAGGGGGTGATATCTTTGGTTCTCCAGACCAATGACAGAAGTCTCTAAATAATCCTAACCAAATTCTTTCTACAATCTTTTTCACTGAGAATGAATTACAATTAGTGACACAACACGATATGAATCCCAATACTGGAAAAGCTAGAATGAAGAGAGTATTGTAAATATACATATGTCCTTCCTGGGCCAGAGAGATAGTACAGTGGGTAGGGTGCTTGCCTTGCATGTGGTTAATCCAGGTTCAATCTCTAGCATCCCATATAGTTCCCCCAGTACCACCAGGAGTGATCCCTGAGTGCAGAGCCAGGAGTAACCCCTGAACATTGCCAGGTGTGGACCAAAATCTGAATAAAAATTTCCCTCTCAAGAGTCACATTAATTCTTTACTAAAATTTATATTCTAGATAAACCTTTAAAATCTTCAGGGACATTAGGAAATATTGACTTTCATTTAACGAGTCTTAAATTAATAACCCCTTCCATCAGGAAAGATTTCTTATTTTTAATGGGCCAAGGCCATTTCCAATAGATAATTATTTGAAATAAATGTGTCAGTGGCTATGGCTTAGGTCAGTGTTTGTTGTTGTTGTTCTATAAACGTGTTTTTCTGCTGTAGTAATATTATTTTTAGATAAAATATTTCTGCATAATTCATGGATCACTTATTCCCCCCTTTCTTCATGAATATTCAAGTGAAAAGTAAGCATAATATCTTAGAACCAAAGTACTATTAGCATTAGCAAATCAGTGTGTTTTATATACAAATTATTTTACTTTTTGCCAAAGATAAATTACAGCAGACAAGGCACTGCCCTTGCATGCAGTCAACCCATGTTCAATCCCTGATACCACAAATGGTCCCCAAGAGTACTGCAGGGAGTAAGCCCTGGGCACTGCCAGATGTGGCCCCAAAAGAAAAGCAAGCAAAAACACACACAACAAAATTTTTAAAACAAATTATTTCATTGCTAAGGAAGTGAGGAAAGTTCAATGAATAGTTCTTGGTCTTCAGTGGTAGCCTAAGGTCTGGGAAGAGTTCCATGGCATACATGCTTGCAAGTGTGAGGCCAGGAGTTTAATCCCTAGTTTGGTTCCTGTGCACTGATCAAGATCTCATTGGCTCTGTTGTTTGGAACCGCTAAGCACCACAACAGAGTGTGCAGTCTCTGGAGTGCCACAGATATGTGTGAGCAACACAACTAACAGGCATCCCACCAGGCCAGCATGTTTGGGAGTACAGTTCAAGGAGTGTACCCCCCAGTGAGCATATGTGCAAACATGTATGAAGATCAGAAAGAAAAAAAGATTTTTCCTTTTTTATTGCTCGAGCAGGCCCAGTAACGTCTCCACTGGAGACTTTGTGGTTACTGTGTTTGGCATATCGAATACGTCACGGGGAGCTTGCCAGGCTCTGCCGTGCGGGCGAGATACTCTCGGTAGCTTGCCGGGCTCTCCGGGAGGGGCGGAGGAATCGAACCTGGCTCGGCCAGGCTGGCTGCGTGCAAGGCAAATGCCCTACCGCTGTGCTATCCACATTAATAGACAATTGAAAAAATTTTAACAAAGTCTGAAAAGTAGATTTTTGTACTAAATTCATCTCCATTTCTAATTTTGATACTAGTCTTGTTATATAATAGCATGTTCTGCTCTCCAGAAAGTAATAATAAAATACTTAGGTGAAACTATAAATTAAGTGCTTGAAGGCAAAACCATAAATAAGTGCTTGAATGAATGGGTCATGTATGTATCTATATGTGTGTATATAAGACAGAGAAGAAGAAAATATGATAAATGTTAACAATTAGCACTTTGGGGTGAAATTATGAGAATTATTT